CGCGCTTGTAATTACAGCTCTCTGCTCTCTCTTCCAGGCATCCGTGCCAACAGCTCGAGCAGCAGATGAGACCTCAGAGCCCTCGAGGAGGGGGGATGGAGAGACGGGTGATGAGCCGATGCTCATTACGTGCTTGAGAACTCACCAAGGCCCTTCCTCCAGCCTCTCCTCATCATCATTCCCACTAACCCCCCAGCACACGTGGGGAAGGGACCTCTCTCCTCCTTATGGGGTGGGGGACAGGGCGCGGGGGCCCCGGAAAAGAATAAAGCTCCAATCTCAGCTCGGCTTCTCCACTGCCCCATTGGTCTGAGGGGACCTGCATAGGTTTCCCCCGGCCTGTGAAGTCAGCCCCTACTGCCCTAGGTACCGAGCCCAGCCAGGGCCCTACCGCTCCCTTCCACGTGGAGGGAGAGGCTCCCCAGAGCAGGGAACAGGCAGCTCGGCTTGGGGTATGTACTCTATGGGGTAGGCAGTGCCTGGCATCAGGCAGACTAGGATTCAAATCCGAGGTCCATTCCTTGCTGGCTGGGAGACTCTGGTCAACTGTCCCATCTTGAAAGTGGTACTAGGACCACCCAGCTCCTGCCATGGTTGGGGGGGACTAATGTCTCTGATGTTAGGTGTGAGGGACTAACAGGGCCTGACATGTGAGCCCTGGAGAAAACAAGGGAAAGTCAAGAAGGTGGACAGGAGGACTACTGTGGCTCTCCCAGCTCTCACTTTCCAGAATCCTGCTTTAAAGACGTTCTGAAAATCAAAATCTTTGGGTCAGCGCAGAGGAGTGGACCACACGTTTTAGCAAACCAGGCTGGACTGGACATGCGAGGCCACTGGCTGCACGATGGAGACCCAGAAAGGCAAAGCCCAGGGGCAATGGGAAGCCGACCACCGGGCGGTTTTGCCTCCAGAACACGTAGCCTACGAAGTTGATCTCTGGGCTGCTGACTCCCAGCCTTGCCTGCCAACCCGAGGCTGCCCCTGCTCTGAGGTTCTCACGGGAAGTCCGGTTGCTTGTGTTCCCTTTTCATCAGCTGACTCGGGTCACTGATGGCCACTCTGTGCCAGGGGCTACACTGGGCGCTGAGACCGCAGGTGCATCAGACCCAGGCCCTGACCTCCTGGAGCTCCCAGGCTAGCGAAGGCCATCTCCAACGTTGCTCCCCTCCTTCGAGGCCCAGCTTCTGGAATCCTCTTCCAGAATCCTGCCTTCAGCTCTGACTTATGTCCCCCTGGTGTGGTACAGACCTAGCCTACGCCCAGGAGCTTTCTAGAGCACCATAACCCACAATCCCTGGACAGATCCCAGCAGCCTGACCCCATGCTGGGGCTCAGCAGATGTGGTCAGCTGGACAGCAAGGGCTTGTGACAGCTCACATCTGTCCTGGCTGGAAGTAAAGGCCCCAGTCTAAGCCAGCATCCACGTGCAGGGCACTTGGCTAAGGTTACTCTGTGCTGGGCCCCGAAGTTCCTGAGGGAGAGAGGACATGGTATTGTCCAAATGTTCCAAGAGATTGGCAGAGGCAGGGCCACCTCAGGACAGTGGAAAACACAAGGCTCTGAATCCCAGGCCCACCTCTTCCCAGCTGTGTGAGGCTGGCAGGTGGCAGAAGTTCTGCGGGTCTCAGTGTAACCATCTTTAAAATGGGCTAATAATGCCAACTAGCCCAGTCACTGCACAGCAGCTTAAACTAGCTGCTGGGTTCAGATGCTGCCAGGGTTCCAGAGATGTGCCCCCCTCCTTCTCGGCTCCTCTGAGACTGGTATTCACCACCTGACACCCTGAGTCTGCTCCCAGAGGATACTGCCACCTCTGAGGGACACCAAAGCTCACTCTGGGCATCTCCCCGCCTCCCCGCTCCACCACATGCAGGGTAATGCTGGCCAGGGGCCAGACAGGGCCCGAATGTGAGGAGACATGCCCTTCCGAGCCCTCAGCTGGACATGTGCAGGGAAGCAGCCCCGAGGGCATGCCTGCACAGTGGGAGAGGTTTCCCCGGCCTGTGAAGTCAGCCCCTAGCACCGTACATCCTGAGCCCAGCCAGGGCCCTACCGCTCCCTTCCACGCGGAGGGAGAGGCTCCCCAGAGCAGGGAACAGGCAGCTCGGCTTGGGGTATGTACTCTATGGGGTAGGCAGTGCCTGGCATCAGGCAGACTAGGATTCAAATCCAAGGTCCATTCCTTACTGGCTGGGAGACTCTGGTCAACTGTCCCATCTTGAAAGTGGTACTAGGACCACCCAGCTCCTGGCATGGTTGGGGGGGACTAATATCTCTGATGTTAGGTGTGAAGGACTAACGGCCTGACATGTGAGCCCTGGAGAAAAGCTCACTCCCTGACAAGAGAGAGGCCAAAGGCCAGATGAACAGACCCCAGACCGGAACCAAGGACACAGGAATTCACCCAGATTCCTTCTCTGAACTTGTGAGCAAGTCCTTGGAGAGATTTTAATTGGGATGGTCTCTTCCCCACGGAGAGGAGACCCCAACATCCACCCAGTGAAGCTGAAGGTCACATCAAATCTGAAAGGCGACTTTGTTCTCCGTGGCTTCATCCGTTATGCATGAAAGAGCAGATGGCGGGTGCTCAGGATTCATGATTTGAGACATCCGGAGACTATAGGCACTGGCCAAATTTAAACCGAAAGATGAACTTGTTGGGTGTCTTTTCAGATTATGGGAGAGGAAGAAAGGAGAGAATTTCTCCGTCATCTCCCATCCGCTCAGAAGTCACAGCTGTTCCGCCTTGCGTTCCAGAGACTTTTATTATAACCGTTTGAAAGGGACAAAGAGATAAATGTCTGAGGAGGACCCCCCCCACCGCCCCGAGACTGAAGATGGAGGCCACAGGCAGCATAACCGCAGATGTGGCTGCTGGGGGACTGGGACATGGCAGAGTGGAGGGTCACACAGACCTGCGGCTGTGTCTCCTCGGCCGAGTTCTGGCCGCGTGGCCTGCAGCCTCAGCGCCTGTAGCAGGAAAGCGAGTGAGAACCACCTGGCCTCGAGGAGCAGTGTGACGAGGCAGAGCTGACAGCCTGGCACAGCCAAGGGCAGAGGAGGAGAGCTCGATTAACGGTGGCCACCACTGTCAGTTTTACTTTGACTTCCTTAAATATGTTTGGTCCAAACTGCCTTTTGTCTGGGATAACCTCTGAACCATCTATGCCCATCACCAATATGATAACTGTCACTGAAGTCTCACAAAACCCAGGGAGGCAGAAAAGGGTCGTGATGGTTGTACCCTTTTCCCAGATAGGGAAACTGAGGCTCAAGAAGAGAAGTCATGGATCCAGTTATAGCCCCAGGCAGCAAAGCCAGAGCTAGACGGTGGGTCTTCCAAGTCACCAAAACGCACTTCCCACCAACCCCAATCACCCGCGCTAGTGTCCCGAGTCCACATGGACAAGGTGTCTGGACCACTCAGTCCCCAGCACCAAGTCCCAGGCCTGGTTTCAGTTTAGCACAAAGTCTGTCAAATGAATGAATATCATGGCCTCATTTGAGAGGGTGAGAAAAATGACTGACATCCTTCCCAAGAAAGATGTACGTGCGGCCATGGGTATTTCAAGGGGGCCACAGACCCTGGTTAGGGGCCTTGACCCAGACCCTCAGAGACCGCTTCAGGGCTGAGCTCACCGATACCCAGAGGTGGCCTTGCATAGCCCGTCGGCCAGTGAAAAGAGGGCCTGCTGGCTTCATCTGCGGGACCACAGACCGCTGTTCCCCACGTCTGGGCCTGTGGTCACCACTGCTCCAACCACCCCAGGGCAGGGTCCGCCAGAGGCCGCTCCAGCCGAGTACTCGATCCTCAGAAAGAGAACACTTATTTTTTTTTCCTCTTTAGAATTCCTTTACAGCGACATCAAGAAAGCACAAACTCTGCAGACACACGGGGAGCATGCTGACCGCTGCCGGCCGGAGACCAGCTCGAGGCCCCGCTGCGGGTCACACCAACACAGCACGGCCTTCCTCCGGCCTCTGGACCCCCGTGCCAGGGGGCGGCCTGTGTCAGGCCCGATCCCTGCCGCCTCATGACAGACACAGGGGCTGACACCAAGGAGGTCTGGGCTGGGGAGCGGAAGCTGGGCCAGGGCCACATTCTGAGAAAGACAATCCCACCCCACATCTCACCCAGGCATTTCTGACTGTGCTCTGATTCCAGTGCTTAGTTAGATACGCAAAATCTTAAAAAATGGTGTTTCCTAGGCTGGTGTAACCTGCTCCAACTACCGCCAGGGACTTCAGCTTGGTAAAGCCAGGCCTGGGAGGCACCTGAGGATGGAGGGTGTGCTGGTGGCTTTGCTGGGAGCCTGTGCGAGAGCGGAGGGGGTAGATTCTGAAAACGGGCTGCTGCTGGCACCGACCTGGGGTTGGAACGTCAGGAAGGAACCGCGTGATGCTTACGAAGTTTGGTTTTGTTTCACCCTCTGAATTAGCAGACTTCAAACACTTCCATTTTCACGGAAATCAACAGCAAGACAGTTTAGCAGGGCACGCAGGCTCATGCCAGTTCTGCGTGTAAAGGCACCAGATGGTTTGTTATGAAACACATTTTGGTCAGAAAATAGCTGGTGCTTTTTGGTTCCTGGGAGGACAACAAAGCTAGGAAAAAAAAAAAAGGAGGTGCGAGTTGTGAGAGATGCGGGTGAGAAGGCAGCTTTGGCACCAGATCTGGGTTCTACTCTCGACTCTAACTTCTTCCACATGTGTGGTCTAAAGTCTCCTCATCTGAAACTTACGACCAAGGAGTCGCAGAACAAATCTAGGTGTTAGGTTTTGCTTGTCACCTCAGGAAGTATGGGGAGGTGGGGCTCAGACCCAACAGCAGTGCTGGGAGGGGGAAGGGCAGGATGGAGGCGGTCACACAGATGACCCCATTGTCGCAGGCAGACTCTAGGAGTCCGTGGGCAGCCAGTTACACTGGTTCCCAGCACTGGTGGGGACCCTCCATGGGGACTTTGGGCCCCTTCTCTTGGAAGAAGGGCAGAAAGAAAGCTCTACACAACGCAGCACCATCGCGGAGCAGGAGCCCGCACCTGCGGTGAGTGCTCTAAAGTGCCTGCCACGTGCTGTCTTTGGTCAGGGGCTGCCCCTGTCTCTTTGAGCCCCCCTGGGGCCAGGAGCTCAAGCCCCAGCCTGCTGGGGCCTGCCAGGAAGGTGAGCGGGACGAAGTGTCTTCTCCCGGGGCGGCGGGGCCCTCCTGTGCTCAAAGGGTGGCAGAAACGAAGGACCCAACTCCTTTCAGTAAGGAGCAGGGGCACCCCCAGGTAAATCTGGGCCCTCAGAGAGAAGGGACAAGAAATGCTTTGGTCACCATCCTGACACCCACAGCGAGCAGCGCTCACACAAGAGAGGGCGGGAAGCTGGTTATCACACTGCATTCGTGCCTGATGCCAAACCGGCTTCTGGAACCAGGAGTCATTGAATAAATATTCAAGGCATCTTTCAGTTCTTAGAGAAAGAATGGGGTTTAAAAAAAAAAAATCTCTCCTTCCCTCTGCTTGACTGGCTGCAGCTTTGATCTTCAGGCTGACAGCGCTGCCGGCTGGAGGAGGGTGGCCGGGGGCGGGGGGCCAGAGCTGGCCCCCACCCCAAACGTGGGGAGCTTTGGTTTGTCACGTGTCCTGCCAGCCCCAGGCCTCAGAAGCTGAAGAGGTCGTCTGACTTGGCGCCACCGCTGTCAGGCTTGTCCCAGTCGACAGGCGAGAGGCACTGGGCGTAATGAATGTCCTGTGCCGTCAGCCCAGTGTCCAGGACCTGAGGGTTCGTCCGAGACTGGGCCAGCCTGGAAGGCAGAGCTGTGTAAGCTGGGGGCCCAGGCAAGGGGCTTGGTGGGGGCCCAAGGAGACAGTCCAGCACCAGAGTTAGAAGCGAGAGAGCATGGGTGGGCAAACGGCAGGACTCGGGGACAAAGAAGAAAGACCCAGGACTTCCCCAGTGGTCCAGGGGTTAGGAATTCGCCTGGGTACACAGGTTTGATCCCTGGTCAGGAAACTAAGATCCCACACGTGGGCGACTGAGCCCACGTGCCTCAACTACTGAGCCCATACGCTGCAACAAAAGAAGTCACTACAATGAGAAGTCTGCACACGGTGACTAGAGAAAGCCCTCTTGCAGCAACGAAGACCCACTGCACCAGAGATAATAAAATTATTTTTTTAGAGAAAAGAAAGAAAGACCCAGATGTCGGGAGAGGTGGAACCTCTAACCAGAGAGTCTACCCTTGAGGGTCAAGTGGCTCAGAAAACTGTGGGGCAGGCTGTGGCATTTGCACCACAGAGAGGCAGGGGCACCCACGATGGCTCCATCAGGAAACGCCCAGGAAAGAAAAGAAAGGGCAGCTGTGCCAGGGCAGAGAGGGGCGTGCGTGGGAGGGGGCCTGGGGCAACCATGGGAGACCACTGGCTCTAACTATGTTCAACACAGCTCCATTCACAAAGTAAATTCAAAAGCGGCACGATTAAATGTCCAAAAAATCCGGAGTTAATTACAGCCCACATCCTTAAAAGAATGTGAGGCAGTCGATGAATGGTGTTTACAAGGAGTTTTTGGTAGCCTGGAGAAATGCTCCCGATATATACCAGCGTAGAGTGAAAAATCAGGATCCCCAAATACAAATATCATGAGCTGATCAAGGCAAAAAAAAACTGCATATGTATAGGATCAGCATGAGTTAAGCCCCAAAGTCTGGGCTGTGGGATTATGGGACGGTGTTATTTCCTGTTTAATGCTTGGCTGATTTTCAAAGTTGTTAATTAAGGGCATATGACACTTTGGTAATCTGGAAAAAGCAAATGAAAGAGTTCCTTCAAACAGGAGGGTCGCAGTCAGCCAGGGAAGCAGAAGAGATGGCCACAAGAATAATGAAGGGGACACACCTGCCGCTCCCCACCCCCCAGGGCTGGGCCGAGAGGTTCCCACTGGCTCTGGCAGGAAAGTGATGGGGAAGGGGAGACAGCTGTAGGGGGCTGCTGTGGGTCCCAAGGGAGAAAGGGAGGCCTGGCTCAGGACCCGGAGCTGCCCAGGCCTCTCCTCAGCCCGCCTTCGCGGCGGCAGGCCCCCGAGCTGAAAGCAGCCGCAGACAAAGACGACCCCTGGTTAAAAGGGCAAAGGCCACCAGCCTCCAGCTAGACCACCTATCTCCTGGGGGCTTCACTCCCACCTCACGCAAATGCTACGTGGACTTAATTTAGCACTGCCTTCTCCCAGCCCCTTTCCATAGAGGCAAAACCTCGGGAGGGAACAAAATCTGTGCCCAAAGCCCATTCTTGAAGGCCACGCCAGACACAGGAAGAGCAAGCCAAGCTGAGCTGCAGTGCGCTCAGCCCAGCTCAGACTGCTCAAGCAGCCACGAGGAATGATAGCTTCAGATTTCACCGGCAAGGACACGTTAGCAGGCCTGGCTGAACAGTGAGCTCCCCGCCCCTGGACGTATTCAAGTTGAGACTTTCCTTCTGGAGAAGGTCAGAATTCAGACACAGCAAAGAGCCCTGGAGGCCAGCCCCCCGCAAGCACCAGGCCTCCTTCCCCAGCATCAGGAGCCCAGCTGACGTTACCTTGAAAATGCTTCATCCAGGCCGTCATCCAGCTCCTTGGGGAAAACAAAGTGGGAGATGAGAGCCCTCAGAGGGGAAGCATGTGCCCACAGCCCTGGGAAGCTAGGGGGCCTGAGCACGTGGGAGAATGGGAGTAGTCTGGCGGGCACCTGGAGGAATGGGCCCAGGAAGGCCTCCCCCTGGCTACTGACATCAGCATCTCAGCACAGGGACCCAAACCTGGGATGGGAAGAGAGGGCACCTGGGTGCCCAGAGGCCTGGGGGTTCAGTTCTCAGCTCTGCCATGACTCTGCAACACCTTAGTGAGGCAAGTCACCGGGGCTCTTTGAGACTCAGCTTTTCCTTCTGTAAAATGAGGAGGCTGGACTGAATGATCTCTGCGGCTTTCAAAATCCGAGAGGGAGAGGGTGGGAGAAGGTTTTCTTGCTTTTACCCACTTTCGAAAGCTGAGCCAGGATTCTAAGCTCATGAGGGATAGCTGGTGACAGGAATCCCACAGCCTAGGTGGGGGGAAAAAAAGGGGGCAGGCTCCCTCCGCAGCCTCCTGGGGGACGGGCAGGTGACAAGGCTGGCTCCCAGACCAGTTCACGGTGCCCGCTCGGGGGACACTGAATGGCCCCCAACAGGCAGTGGGATTTGGCAGTTTTTCAAGTCCCTCGACGGTCCAGATTTTTTAAAATTAAAGGGACATGACAAGTAAAGTAACATGTCATTCTGCAGTGAATCCTGGACCAGAGAAAGGACACTGGAGGGACAAGTGGAGAGATGTGAATCAAAACCTGTAGCTTATGTAACAGTGCTGTATCAATGTTAATGATTTTGATCTTTGTAATGCGGTTATGTAAGATGTTAACAACTGGGGAATCTATATGAAGGGGAACAGGAATTCTTTGTACTGTTTTTGTAATACTTCATGTATTACATGTTAGGTTCCTCTGGAAGATTCTTCAGGCAGAGGTCGTCACCATCACTGAGGAAGTGAAAGAGCTGAGACAGAGAAAGGTCAGGGGGCTTGCCCCAGGTCCCAGAGCCAGTCAAGGGCCAGGCTGCCTGCCTGAGTCTCAGGCTCCTCATTCAGACAGCCGATGGGGAGGGGTGTCAGGAGAGAGAGGCCCACAGTGAGAACAAGGGGGCCTTTGGCTTGTCCTGCAGTGGGCAGAGCTGGATGCTTGGGCCAAGAGGCCGGGCACTGTGAGGAGACAGCTCTGCTGGGAGCCAAGCCTGTTGGCGACGCAGCCCTAGGTTCAAAGGGACATTGTTCATCCCCTACCCGGGGCCTGGGTGCGGCTAGGGTCAGGACCTCCTAGAGGCCTGCAAGAAGTGGGTGCCAGGGCCTGCCCAGGAGCTGCCGTAGGCCTCATCCGGGGACCAGGCCGAGGCTCGTTGGACCCGTGGAGGATCCCCAGGCCCCATGACCACTCACCCAGACAACACTGCTGCTGTTTAGGGCCTGAGGCCGCGGTGGCTCATCCATGTTGGTGGTGTTGGCGCTGACCGTGGACAGTGGGGCCTTGGCCGTCTCTTCCAAGTCTAGCAGGTTCCCAGTGACGACCACTGTGAGGGGTCAGGGGCGTCAGGGGGAGGGGAGGCTCCTGTCCTCAGCCCAGCCTCTGGGCCCCATCCTGGTGTCTCCTGGGCTGGGCTGGTCCTGACTCCCTCCTCGGGCACGACCTTTCCAGGCCCACCACCCAGACCCGCCCTGGAACCTCCCGAGGCAGCTGCACGGCAGCCCACAGGGTGGGAGCTCTGTCCCACTCGTGATTCAGGCTGGAATCCATATTCACAACAGGCATTGAGGTTCTGGAAAGTGTGAGGGGAGAGACATATACCCAGATTTCTATATCTGTACAGGACATATCTGGACATATTTGGACACACACCTAAACAGGTCATTTTCCCCCCAGCTCAAGACTCACGGCTCTTCAACGAAGGGGCGCTGTCTTGGCGGCCCCCGCCCAGGACATCCGCTCCCTCTTGGTTGGCTTTCTCTCTCTTCTCCTTCTCTGTGGGACCAAGCAGAGCATGTTGGGAGTCCCTGGGCAGCACTCCAGCCCCAGCCACCTCTGGGCAGGGGCAGGCTGTGGCCCATCTCACGGGGGGCAGGTGTTAGGTCTCCAGAAGAGAGGAAACAAACTCGGCATATTTCATTCCCTCCTCACAAGGACCGTGGGGGAAGGAGACAGCTGTTCCCAGTTTCTTCAGATGGAGAAACTGAGGCTCGAACGTGCAGGGACCTGACCAGAGCCACAAACCACTAGGTGAAGAAGTTGACTCCAGAGCCTTTAGCATCTGCCCCACCCCTACTGCTCAGCTGGTCTTCAACACCCCCTTGTACACCCCACCCCCCAACCATCACCCACTCGATGCAGATGCATCCACAGACAAGACTCACCTTCCTTGGATACCTGCCAAAACTCAAAGGCGACTTTGAAGGCTTGGGCTACTGTGAGGGTGACAGCCTGGGCCTAAAAAACAGGAAGTGGAGTCGGGGGAGGGGTACAGTGTCAGGCAGGTAACAGCAAGTCTCCACCAGAGGCTCTGGACTCCAGGCCAGGCCCACCTTGGCTCCAGAATGTCTGATGGGTGGAGGTGGAACCCCAGCCCCTCCCCATCACCAAAGCAGCCTGGAAGGAAAGGGGCCACACCTTCCCCAGGCCCCTGAGGCCCCACCTTCACTACCGGAAGCCCAGCCCAGCCCAGCCCGGCCAATGTTCCCACTGGTACTTCAACCCCCACCCTGGCAATGGCTATTCATCTCCACGTTTTTTCCTTCCCCTTTGAGTTTCCCTAAATGCACTTAATTAAGCATGAGGCTTACTTCCTCCAAGAAGTCATCCCTAATGGCCTGAGGACTTCACGTAGTAACTGAGCCCTTAGAATTACAGAACACAAAAGCCAGAGTTGGGGAAGGGGGATGAGCCACAGGTCAGACTCTGGTGAGGACTATGCCAGGTCAAAATGGCTTGCAACTGGATGGCAGAAAGGTAGTGCGAGGCTCTTTCATTTCCTGGCAGGAGCAAGATGTCAATAAAGGCCTGGGGCAGAAGACTAAAACCATCCAGTGCCATCACCCATTTATAAAGAAAGGCCACACGCTGGCCCCCAACCCCTGGGGGAGTCCCATCTACCTCTTTAAACGCGACTTAAATGTTATCAACTCTCTTACGTTACGCCACGCTATGCCATGCCATGTCACATGACATCACAGGCGCTGGGCTCCCACAGCCCTGCCTACCTGTCTATAGTGAAATCATATGAAAGTGTTAACCAGTTTGCATGCTTGCCTGTCTGCTAAGTCGCTTCAGTCCTGTCTTGACTGTGACCCTATGGACTGACTGTAGCTTGCCAGGCTCCTCTGTCCACGGGGATTCTCCAGGGAAGAATACTGGAGTGGGTTGCCATGCCCTCCTCCAGGGAATCTTCCTGACCCAGAGATTGAACCTGCGTCTTCTGCATTGCAGGCAGATTCTTTACCGCTGAGACACTGGGAAAGTCCACACGTGCCTGCCTATGTCACCCTAACTGGGTGCTCCCAAAGGCAGGCATCAACTCTGAACACCCCTGTTCTCCACAGCCCTCCAGGGGTGCCTAGGATGCTGGCTGGATTGCATTTGCCTGGGGACAGGTCTCTGAGGCCTCACACTCCAGCCAGGACCAACCCTCAGCCCACCTTCATCTCAGCCCCTTCCTCTCCGATTTCAGCTCAGGGTTAATCAGCTCGACTTCTGAGAGTGAAAGTCCTAGAACTCACAGCTATAGCCGGAAGCGACATGTAGCTTACTCTGCAGGCCCGGCTTGGGGAAGAGAGTGACAGACTCAAGAGCACAGCAAGTTCAGGCCTAACCAGCCTCAGCCCCACTCCCTTCCCCTCAGCCAGACAACTTAATTTAATTGAGAAATGAATCTGTGGCTACTGCCTTTAAAACTCTTCTTTAAAATTTAAAATCCCTAAACAAGCTGACTGATCCCTGCCAATTAAACTTCACGAAGTATAAAATCTCATTTGAATGTCTCCGTCATTTACATTTTTGATAGAAGTACGGGTGCTTTATGGTAAAACTTAAATATGGTAATTAAGTTTGAAACTCTTCACAGCTGTTTACAATTTAAGCTGTCACGTCTGAATCAAGTTTAATAGATCCAGTTACCATTGAGAATTGCCCATGAACTAAAAATATGGGCTAATTACCAGCCAGAGTCAGATCACTATACACCCAAGTAAGGGCTGGTCACCCAGTGTGGCAGGGAGATGGGAACGCCATTATTTTTGCCTCCAGGAAATCTGGGGACACAGGCCTGATGCTGTTTTTGCATAAATCTGCTTGCTCATTTGCATACATCCCCGCCCTTTCGCCCCGAAGTCCCGAACTGCAAGTTAAACCAAATATAACTCAAGATGCAGATGCCTGCAGGTGGCTGCAAGCCCAGGCTGGACAGTGACTGGTGGGGTGGTGGGGGGGGGGGGGCAGGTAGGCCCCATTTTCCTGGGCGACTGCAGGAATCTGGGCACCAGCATGAGATGGAAGGACTGCTCATGTCTGCTCACAGAAAAGCTTTCCTTGATTCTACAGGCGAGGTGTCTGCCCCTCCTGAACGCCTCTGGCCTGTGGGTCTGTCTTATTACCTGACCCAGTACTACCTTGCCCAGTTTTTCATGTCCCTGTCTTGTTCCAGATAACCAGGCAGTCAGCTTCTCATAGGGAACCGCCAGGTTTAGCGCTGTAGACCCGGGCCAGGACTGTGGGATCCAGGAATCCCAGCTGGGTACTCAGACCAACCAAATGGGGCCAGGTGCCTGCACAGCCCTGCTGCCCAGAAGCATGAACTGCTGCACCAAAGTACCACCTGGGGGGTGCCACTGTCCTGAGAGGGAGCAGCGCTCTGCCCACCTGACCCCAGGCAGGATTAGGGAGACCACCTGTGCTGCAACCCTTGGCTCCCCGCTGATGCTGGTGATGGCATCGTCACTGCTGAGCCCAGAGGCTGACGTGCTGGCTGAGGGCTCCCAGCTGGGCAGATAAAAACACTTCTCTGTAGAGAATCTTATCCTGGCCATGCACAAGAGGAGTCTCCAGGGAAGACAGGCCTGGTGGCTGTGCCGCCCATGTTGAGCTGAACTGGTGGGTAACCCAGAAAGGGACCCCTTGTCCCCTCCATCTGGGTGGATCTAGGCTTCTTGCTGATTCAGGCGGCCCAGCAAGGAAGGGTGGGGATGTGGAGACTCTGGGCCCCTGGCCAAAAGGACTGAGGGCTGCGTCAACATTCAAGGTTCCCTTGAGGTGCCACCCACCCAGGCTCCAGTGACATCTGAATCCCCCACCCCCAAACATATCACTTGAGTTTGCACCTCAGGTCTCTGCACTTGCTGATGATTCCTGGGCTGGAGTGCACCTAACCTCTTACCACCCTGCCCCCTTTTTCCCAGCCTGGGAAACTCCTCCTACTTATTACTCACCCCTCAAAGCCCAATTCAGAATGTCTCCTTCTCCAAGAAGTCTTCATGACCTCCAGCACGGCAATGACCACCACCCGAGAACCAAGCTCCCTGCGTGCCAGTTACTGATTCCTGGCTCTCGTCTCCATGGCCTCACTCCCCTGGGTCCCCGGCGCCCGGCAGAGCTCAGCCCAGGACCGGGAGCAGCACGCGTCTGCGGAGGGACCTGCTGGCAGCAGGGATGCAGACACCAAGGCACCACTTCACCTCCTGCCTCCTCCTCGTCAGCCACATCCTCTCCGCTGAGAGTCTCGGGATCTCCAACACGACCAGGCCACGAGGCCATAACACACTGGAAGTCCGGCCTCAGCTGAGGCCGTGGGAGCCACAAGGACACCACCCGTGTGTCAGATGGTCTTCTCACACCGCCCTGGGCTGGGCTGTCTCTCCAAGGGGCCTGCCTGAACCGGACAGGCCAGGTGGGAAAGGCTGGAGAAGGACAAGCCGGGATCCAGCCGCTCCTGACGCAGAAGAGAAGAGGCCCAGAAGAGTGAAGAGCCTGGCGCTGGATGTCCCGCAGGAGCCGGTCCTCTGCCGACGGCTGTGATGTCAGCACCGAGCGGTTGCCGGCTCTTCTCCCCAGTAAACCTGACCTCTCAGCCTGGGGCAGACTGGTTTCATTCAAGCCCGTCTGAGGTCCTCTGGCCCCAGGCCAGGCTCCCGTAGGCCCTGGGCCAGGATTCGCTCTCACTCACCGCCGACCTCCCCATCCCAGAGGAAGCCCCTGCATGCTGGGAGCCCCTGCTCCGCAGCAACGGCCGAGGGCCAGCTGCCCCTGCCCAGCGCCTGCTCTGCGCAGTGCGGAGGAAGAGGCCGACAGTGGGGACATAAGAAGCTTGTTCTGTGGGGAACAAGGCCGTCACGGGAGAAGCCACCGCAGCTCAGGGACCCAGGGCATCACGAGGCCGGCCTGAGTGGCTGGCGACACTGAGTCTGCAGGGAAGAAACAGGGTGCACAAAGAAACTGGGACCCGTGAGCACAATCCGGGAGGCCATGGAGGTGACCTCCGCATTCCGCCAGTGGCCACGCAGCCCAAGGAAGGGCAGGATCTCACCCACGGCCGCAGGGTGGGGTCAGGCCCCTGGCCAGTCTCCTACAGCGCTCCCTTCACAGCACCTGAGGCAGGCTGAACCGTACCCCCTCTTCCACAAAAGTTAAAGTTGCTCAGTCGCGTCCAACTCACTGCGTGCCCATGGACAGACTATACAGTCCATGGAATTCTCCAGGCCAGAATACTGGAGTGGATAGCCGTTCCCTTCTCCACGGGATCTTCCTAACCCAGGGATTGAACCCAGGTCTCCCGCATTGCAGGAGGATTCTTTACCAGCTGAGCCACAAGGGAAGCCCCCACCTCCGCCACCCCAGATGTCCACAATCTAATCCTAGAACCTGTGAATGTTACCTTACATGGCTAGAGGAACCTGGCAGATGCGATTAAGTTAAGGACTCTGAGGGGATTATCCTGGATTACCCAGCAGGCCCAATCACAAAGGGCGTTACGAGAGTGAGGCAGGAGGGCAAGAGTCAGAAACAGCAAAGTGATGACAAGAGCAGAGAGGGAGACTGGAGGGTGTTCCACTGCTGGGGCGACAGAAAGCCTGGGGGCCACTTTAAGATCGCGACGTCCTGGATGCGTCGCTGATGACAGGGGGGGTTGAACAGATCCTGTCTCCTTGGCTTTAAGGACCCTAGGATACAGGAACTGGGGCTCTGGGCTTCAGACACAGAGATCAACCGAGGACAATACTAAATCAATAAACGTCAGGAACCTCCTTACAGGGCGGATGCTCAGGCCTCGGGGGCCTCAGAAATAAAAGCGTCAATGCCAAAGGCTGACTCACTCCAGCGGCTTGCCATGAAGCTCAAGACAAAAGCCCAGAGACCACCAAGGCCCCGCCCATCCCAGCCAGATGTGATCAGGGTGGCCTGGAGATGGGGTTAAAGGGCTCCTGGCTCCTCAGTCGCACAGGGAGGGAAGGAACGTGGGCTTAGACCCTCCCTCTGCCTGGCTGGCTGCGTCATCTTGAGCAAGAGAGCCAACCTCTGTGAAGACGTTTCCTCATTAAAAAGAAAACCAGTGAACACAGTTACAGCACCCATGTCGCGGAGCTGTTCTGAGGAGCAAATGAGACGATACCTTAGAGATTACCATTGAAACAGGCACAGCAGGTGTCAATATAGGGCCATTTCCCTCGCTGCTCTGGCCACGGACAGCGAGGTCCTCTGGGGGCCCTCACCTCTGCCTTTCACCCTGGACCGCTCTGATTACCAGTCTCCAAAGACTAATCTCTGTAAGGCCTTGCATCCCCAGACCATACCAGAGACAGATCTCTCCCAGATCTCAAATCCATCAAATCATATGATAAAAGTGGAAGGGGCCCCAGGGTACTCACTGGGAAAGTGGGCTTGTTGCTGCCCACAGGCCAGCTGAGGGCAGTCCACCCTGCCAGCTGACCTGCAGCCCTACACGGGTGCCCTCAGCTCTCAGCTGAGAAGCCACTTTAAGTTCCCAGGGATTTCAGACTTTTAACTGATACCCGCTTTGGGTTCTGCCTCCCACGCAGTCAGGGCCCCCAAACTGAGGCTCCTGGCTGCCCGAGCCCAGCCTCCCCCCACTGACCATCTTCCGCTTGGTGCAGAGGAAGGCGTGGCACTCGAGATTCTCGTTGTGCTGGCTCTGCGCGATGTACGCAAACACTTTGTCGTGCATCTTGTCTGCCGTGCAGTAGGAGATTCTGAAAGGCAAGGGGGGGAAGTATCACCAGACTCCAGGACAGGGGCCTGACTGCATCCGGGAAGTCCCCTAGAGCATATCCCCTGAGGTTCAGACAGCCTGCCATGCCATTCCACCAGGGCAGGACTCTGGGCCTGGCATCCTGGGCCAGTTGTAGCGGGACAGGGGAGGGGAGGGAACCCAGGCTCGGCAGGAAGGAGTGATGGGAAGGACTGGAGGAAGGCCACATCCCCACACAATAGCAGCTGAACCCTGACTGCACACCGGGCAGCCTTCTAGATGGCACCTGAGTTCTCAGAACTGCCCTCCGAGATGGGTTCTAGTACCCCCCCCCCCCCCCCGCCAACTTTACAGGTGAGAAAACTAAGGCTAACAGACCACCAAGCTAGTGGGCCGGGGGCCACAGCCACTGCCATGCTGCCTCACGGAGGTTTTTGCTGACCGGCTGGAAGGGGGAAAAGGATGCCCTTCACCTCAAGGCCCCTCAAATGCCCTCCCCCTGATCATAGGTCAGAGGAGTCCAGGCCCATCGCTCCCAGGATGACTGAGACTGCTAACAGGTCCTCCTGGAGCTCGGGCCGGGGGAAAGGAGCTGGGAGCAGGGTAGGGGCCTAGGAGGCAGCTCCCCCCGCTTGAAACACCCCCTCACCCATTTGACCCCTCCGTCTGGCCTCGTCATCCCAGGAATCCCAGTCAGGAGAGGAGCTGTGGGCCCAGAGGTGGGACAGGAGCTCCGCGGACTTCCTGACTCACGTGGCCCCAGTGTCAGTCATAGGTGTCGACAAGGGATCAATCAGGACCATTTAAAACCCCCGAATGGGCAGAGTGAGGGGGTGCCAGCTTCCCAGACGCCTCTTCTCCTACCCTGGGGAGCTGGTCTCCTTAATGCCCTGGGTCTTTGGCATCAAGGCCCTGTCCTAAATGCCCTGAGTCTTTGGGTATCCATCAACTAGATCGGGCTATTCTTCATGCCTCGGCAAGGAGAGGCTTTCCCAGCTGACCCCAGGCAGGCCTCTCCTTCTCTGCCCTCTTGGGAAACAATTCTGTCTCGCACCCTCCCCTCCATCTCCTCCTAGACTAGAAGCTCCCTGAAGGCGGGCTGGGTCTGATCCTCTCACCTGGCACAGATCTCAGCAGAGCAGGTAAACGCTGGGTGAAGGAGGCAGGCAGAATTAGGAAGGGAAGAGGAAGACACAAGCTAGAAACTCTACAACGACCCCACAGCTTACATCCACCCCCCGACACACACACCCCAACCCCAACCCCAGGACTGGTCTGTGCTTTAGCTGGCTGAGCCACCTGCCTGGAGATGAAGCAAGAGGGTGTAGGGACGTGAGGCCTGACACAACTCTGCCCTTGGTGTCCTGGGTTCAACTCAGTCATGACCTCACCATGAAGGTAATTAATTCCCTCCCTGGGCCTCAGCTACCCAGATGGAAAATGACCTGAGCTGTCTGTCTCTTCCAGCTCTGAAGGCCTACAACTGACCAGCTGAGAGAGAGGTGGGGATGGCCTGAGGCTCCAAGGGCCGGGCCTGTCGCCCTGTGACCAGCCCCCACCCTCTATCGAGATCATCTACACTTTGGCCTCAGACGTGCCTGAGGCCTCCCTGGATGCCTGGCCAGATGTCCAGAGCTGAGCTGCTGTAATCCCAGCGAAAAAAGGCAGTGGCGGCGCTGCTGTCTGCTCCAAGCCTGACTCAGCAGCACAAGGCGGGAGGTGGCAGTGTCCCAGGGCGGCTGCAACTAGTGACGGTGGCAGCAGCCATTCAGCCAGGCACTCGCTGTGAGCCAGGCACTCTCTATGAGCCAGGCGCTGGGCCCTCAGTGCTTCACAACAGCCCCTGGGGCGGGATCTATTTCCACCCCGACAGATGCAGATGAGGAAAACTGAGACCCCAACCAAGGTCGCCCAGACAGGCAGTGGTAGAGCCTGGATTCAGACAAAGCACTCCACCCACCACCCTGAGGGGCAGAGGGAAGCCGCTGAGAGTACCTGTAAATGGACACGTTCTCAATGAGCTGGTTGGTGATGCTGTCTGTAAGGATGATCCCTCGGGGCGACACCTTGAGAGTCACCTTCTGCAGCTTCTTCCCACTGGCCTTGGCCTTGGGGCAGATCTGAGTCAGAGGAGCCTTACCTGCCCGCACTTGGGACCCACCCTCGTGGGCTGCTCCCCGCTGTTCTGAGCCCCCAGTGTGAGGCCCATGGGAGGCCTCAGTTCGGGTGACTGGCAGAGACACGATGGGGAAGATAATTTGGTCGACAATCCCTTCTGATAAAAATAGGGACAAGGGTCGCTCATGGAGTACCTCCGTCTGCCAAGCACGGGACTTCGAGTCATCCTCACAGGCGGTAGGATTCAGCCTCGGGGGGAAACAGACTCAGAGAGGTTGAGGGACTGGGCCAAGGACACACAGCCAGGAGTGGGTGTCAGACTCAGAGGACTGAATGGGCCACTAAGAGTAGCAGGATGGGGACCCTCCTCCACCCGCTATACCTGCTATGGTCTGAGCTGGGGGGGCCAGACCACCAGGAGAGGCGGACTCCGAGGGCACGTGCTCACTCGCAAGCTGGGGAGGCCATCCAGTAACACAGGGACGCCCTGCCTCTCAGGTCACAGGGCAGGCGGTGGGTGCCACCAGCAGCCCCCACCCGACTATCTCTCCCTTGGCTGGTGGCTTGAGCTGAGGGACGGGAGGCTTAGAGGGGTCACGGCCATAAAGCTAGACAGGAGGACACTGGCCTTGCCCCTGACACCCAGTGGCTCCCCTTTAGAGTCTCTAAGCTGAGTGCAGGGGGGTGGGGCGGCAGGGCAGCTCTGACATATTCAGCCACGGTGATATACGGAGGGGCGGTGATGAGCACCAACCCCCACCCCCGCAGGAGCCAGCCCCCGCCTGGAGCTCCCACAACCCGCCCTGACTGGGCTCACCGTGGCTACGATCCTCTTGACGGCGGCGGCTGACAGCTCCTCACCCTTGGGCTGCTCCACCAGCGTCATGCCCAGGTACTTGAGACTAAACAGCATACCCTCGAGCAGTGTCTCCCGGGTGTCTGTCCAGTTTTCAGGCAGCTCTGGGCAGAGGAGGACAGGCCCTCAGACCCTGATGGGTAGGGCCAGCGTCTGCAGCCCCCATCTCCTAGGAAGACCCAGCAAGGGACACCAGGGTCCCCCATCTATCATTATTTTTCTCTTTAATGAAGGGCTAACATTTTCTAGCATATCCAGGCACCGTGATAGGAAACTTTATGTCAAATCTTCTCATCCACCCTCATGAGAACCTGGGAGGCAGACACTTTTATCATACCCATTTAGAGACAAAGACAGTAAGACCTGGTGGTGGTGGTTTAGTCGTTATGTTGCGTCTGACTCTTGCGACCCCATGGACTGTAGCCTGCCAGGCTCCTCTGCCCATGGGATTCTCCAGGCAAGAATACTGGAGTGGGCTGCCATTCCCTTCTCTAGGGGATCTTCCCAACCAAGGAAATGAACCCGGGTCTCCTGCATTGCAGGCAGATTCTTTAACAACTGAGCTATGAGGGAAGCCCCATTTAGAAAACCCATCTAGAGACAAAGACATGGAGACCCAGGGAGGCGAAATCCCGTGACCAAGACCACAGAACGAGCAAGTACAACAGCCCAGAATCAAGCTCTTCTTTTCAAGCCCAAACTCTTAACTTCAGTGTTAATACTTTCTGAGGGCAAGCCATGCCGTTTTCTTATCGGACCTTCAGTGCAATCTGGTGAGACGGACATTATTCCCACTTTACAGATTAGGAAACTGAGGCTCAGAAAGATGAAGCTGGCAGACAAAGGCCAGTGAGTAAAGGGTTGGAATCAGAATTCACGATTAGGTGATTCCCATGGCCCCAGCCTCTCTCTGCAGAGCCACAGACCCCAGGAGGTAGGGGGGAAGGGAGACTAGGAAAGAGACAGCAGTCCAAGGAGAGCAGAGGTGAGGTAAGGCTTAGTGGGGAAAGAGGGAGGTGACTGCTCAAAAGCCTTGACATGAAGGCCACCTGACTCCGGAAGACCGCGGTTCAGATCCCAGCTCCGCTTCCTTCCACCTGCATGGTCCTGGGGAAAGCCTCTCTCCTCTGAGACTAGTAACGCCTGGGCTGCAGCAATGGCACATAGCAGCACACACGAGAAGGGCCCTCTGCAAGCTCTGACCGTGACCGAAGGAAGGTTGGAAAGAGGGCAGGAGCCTGACTCACTGGGTAGTGAAACAGACCAGGAGGGAGAGTTGGAAAGAGGCCCGTTTGGCCCCATCCACGTGAGAGGCCCTGAGCAGGCAGAGGGACAAGAGGAGAAGAGTGGTCTTCGCTGGGGTGCGGGTCATACATGAACTCATAGGAGTTCCTAGGCCCCCCATGCAGAGTGAGACCCAGGTGAACGGGAGCCTGATGCATGCAAGCTGGCATGCCTGAGGGAAGGAATGACCCAGACAACCCCAAGGATGCTTTCAGGCCTGAGATGCCCCCAACACCATCCTCAGCTCTGGACCCTGGCCCGCTGCCTTTAGGCCTCTACCCCGAAAGAAGGCCAGGCCCCACTGAGAAGACTCCCAAAGGGATCCCATCCTCTGTCCATCAACCAGGAGTCTATTTCATTTGATCCTCCAAAGAGAATCAGAAAGTCCCGGAGGTGTTCCAGTCCTGGTTAGGTGAGGAGAACTAAGACAATGGGCCTTCCCCTCAAAGAAACCAAGAACGTTACCACCCCCAGGGCAAAACAGAGCTCTAACACTCATGACTACCTTTCAAGCTAGCTTTCTCTCATCCCATCTCACAGATGAGCAAACTGAGGCTCAAAGGACAAGGAATAGGTCCAATCAGTTGTCTAAGTCATGCTTAAAGCCCAAGTTCCTAACCATTAGATGATACTATCTTCCCACGAGGCAAACTACCCTCCTTTTAGCAAAATGTCAGGGAGAAGTTCCTACAGCCAAAGGCATTTCCCTCCACAGTTCTTAATTCCTGAGGCTTCCTCTTTGTAGGAATCTGCCAGACCACCACTTTCAACCTGAGATCCCTCTGAGCAAGGATGGCAAACTACGTACGGCCAGGCTGGTCACCTGTGTCCTCAGCGGACATTGCTAACCCACCGCAGCTCTATTCCCTCCGATTTAAAGGCTCTGAACTGTTTCTTAATGCAAGGCTGCAGGTAGGTAATACCAATCCCTCAGGGGTGGCCTTGTTCATCTCTTTATCCACCCCTGCCCCTCGGCAAACATCCTTCCTCCTCCTCGCATTTTCATGTCTCCCCGCTCTCATTTCCTCCGGCTCTGCCCTTTCCTGGCCCCTCTCCAAAGCCACTTCCGCTCCCTCCATTCCAAAGGGCCAGAGCTTGCCAAGGTCACAGACGACCTCTTTGTTGTCAAGATATTCCCCAGTACCCGCCTTGACCTCTGAAATGCTTGGCATTTTTCTTCAATCCTCCTACCCTGGCCTGACCCTTCCCTTCTTCGATGGGCTCCTGGAAGAGGGCCCTGGTAGACTGGTGGCCACTCACCAAGCCTCAGAGACCCTCACCCCAACCCCCTTACTTGACAGATGACCAAACGGTGGCCCAGAGAACGATGGAACTTGTGCAAGGTCACAGAGCAAGTAAGAGGGACCCCAGCTCCCAATCCACTACAGGTAACGCCCACAAGGGCTGTTGGGAGTTACAGGCTGCCCAACCTCCTCTCCTCCTACACATGCATGCACACACACAACAGAGGTCCCAATCATGCAGCGCTTCCTCCATGATGTAGTATTTATTTTCCCACTTCTGTCTTTGCTCACAAGTAGCTCCTTCTACCAGAAATGCCCTTCCCTTTGCCAGACGGAACCCTTCCATCCAGTCTCCTCCAAAAAGCCTTCTTAGAGGTGATGTATCCTAGTGGTTAAGAGCGAGGGCCTTAATCCTAGAATCCACTGAGCTTAAGTAGGTTAATTAACTTTCCCTGAGCCTCAGTTGTCTCTTCTATAAAATGGTGGTGATTGAGTCGTGTCTGACTCTTGCGACCCCATGGACTGGAGCCCACCAGGCTCCTCTGCCCCTGGGATTCTCCAGGCAAGGATACTGGAGTGAGATGCCATTCTCTTCTCCAGGGGATCTTCCCGACCCAGGAAACGGCCCTCTTATACAATAGGAGAAGCAAGTCTCCAGTTCACAGGGCTGTTCTGAGCCTTTGATGAGATAATGAAATGAGACAGTGAGATAATAAAGTGTAATGGGCTTATTAGCACAGGGCCCCACCCATGGTTCTGCCTCCTGGGGCCTCTTCTCTCCTGTCAGGGGCCACCCTGTTCGGGGTATGGATTTCCTCCTCTTCCTCCCGTAGCAGCCGCATCACCACCACCAAGCAGCTGCCTGCTAGTGTGTTCTCTTGGAAGGACTTCCGAGCATGTCTGCCTCCTCCACGGTCTAGCGGGGAGGAGGTGCACCTGCTCAATGACACTGTGGGGCCTCACTCTGCTTCTCCCTGCCCGCCCCCATCACCCTGGCCTCCCAGGCCCAGGAAGGAGCTCCTTCTTCCCCTCCAGTAAACCCTGCCTCCCCTCCTGTACTTCTGGGCATGAATCATCTCTTTGATGAGGTGCAAGCTCTCTCAGGCCCCACGCCCTCCCGGAAGAAGCCAGCACCTGGTAGCACTCAGGGAAGACAGAGCTAAGGCCCGCACCACAGCCGCCGCGCTCACCACCCAGCCACTGCGCACTGGAGGCCGCGGGCTCCTTTGGAGGAGGGACCCAAGGAGTCAGGGAGAGCTTCCAGAGGCCCCTAGGCAAATACAGGCCTGAGTCCACAGCCCTGTTCCGGTCCTGGTTATTTTTGGCCCTGTAGTGTGTAATAACTGTGCTATTTTAACTTGTGATTTTTACAGATGACCTGCTGTCAGAATTAGCTAGGGACGGATGGACCGTATGCCCAGTCTGACTTGTAGCTGCAGACATGGTACTCCTTCCTCACTAAGCGGGCCCTGCCTGGGAGTCAGGGCTGGGCAGGCTGACCCCATGCCCCTTCCAGCCTGGTTGATGGCTGGAACATCAGGGCTACGGCCAAATCCGTGGGCTAGGAGGAACCTCCAACCGGGCTCCTGGCTTCCAGTCCCTTCCAGCCTGCAGGGGAGATGGCCTCAGGAACCACAGAGTGGTATCTCAAGAAGAGGACCCAAGTTCTGCAGTGGCCTGGAGTGGGGCTGCGTCTCCAGGCCAGTCTCCTTATCTGACAAACAGGCTCAGTCCTGCAGAAGCATCAGCAGAAAAAAGGTTCTGCGTGTGAAACGTGCTAAGCAAATTTCAGAAGTTATTAAGATTATCAAAAGAAAGTAATAATGATTTTTTTTTAAAAAGGGTGATCGAGTGGTGCTTTCATTGCAGGGGCCTGGGTTCAATCCCTTGTTGGGGAACTGAGATCCCGTTAAGCTGCCAACCCCCTCAAAATGCTAACAGCAGTAGCCACCAGATGGGCAGTGGGGTTCATAGTCATCTACCGCCCTGCTCCTTGGCTTCCATATTTAAAAATGGTATCAACAATAGTATCAGTCCCACAGGACTGTGTGGGTGAGGATGTGGTGAGGATGGAATCAGTACACACACAAGCTGGGCTTAGAACCATGCCTGAAAGATTACAAGTGTCAGTGCTGGGTCATTCAGTTCAGCTCAGTTCAGTCGCTCAGTTACGTCCGACTCTTTGTGACCCCATGAACCGCAGCACGCCAGGCCTCCCTGTCCATCACCAACTCCCGGAGTCCACCCAAACCCATGTCCATCCAACCATCTCCTCCTCTGTTGTCCCCTTCTCCTCCTGCCCTCAATCTTTCCCAGCAGCAGGGTCTTTTCAATAAGTCAGCTCTTCGCATCAGGTGGTCAAAGTACTGGAGTTTCAGTTTCAACATCAGTCCTTCCCGTGAACACCCAGGACTGATCTCCTTTAGGATGGACTGGCTGGGTCATTACCAAGGGTCAAATGCAAAGGTGTACACAGCCACGTGCAGTACTTTAGAGAAGAGTTAAGGATGTATCAGGACTCCCATCTGGCAGCTGAAGATGCTCAGTGGCGTCCAGGCGTGACTCAGAATCCACAGGGCTGAGCCTTGACTTTCACAGCTGTGCTGTGACTCTCCTGCAGTCTGTCAAGCCCCTTCCCATGAGCCAGGCCAGGCTCAGGATCACCCGGGAAGAACGGTAACCGGCCCTGCACGCCACGTGAAAGGAACATCTGGCTCACTTTCAGTGGGCCGTGGGTGACCGGGCTCCGTCAAGCCACACACCCCTCCCTCAGCCACTGGGCTGTGAGAAGTCTCAGGCGCCAGTTAAATGTCCCTTGCACAAGCTGGTCCCTCGGGCTGAAACGCTGTTCCCAGATTCCTCCCTCCTTGTATTCGTAACTGTGTTCCATGTCACCTTCTCTGAGAAGCCTTCCCTGACTCCCTGCACTGACACTCTCATCGCCCCACCTTTAGCTCCTCGTGCTATGCTAAGTCGCTCAGTCATATCCTACTCGTTGTGACCCCATGGACTGTAGCCCGCCGGGCTCCTCTGTCCATGGGATTCTCCAGGCAAGAATACTGGAGTGGGTTGCCCTTTCCTTCTCCAGGGGATCTTCCCCACCCAGGGATCGAACCCTCGTCTCCTGCAGTGGGAGGTTGGTTCTCTGCCACTAGGTGAGTACCATTACCACCCAGGCCACCTGACACGCCACTCTCTCTGGCTGCTGGAGACTTGGATGCCCACTCAGGATGGGAACAGTAAGAGCTCCCGTCTCCAGCGGCCCTGCAACCACTGACAGGAACTGCCCCTCAAAAGGAGTAACTGCTCTGGAGCTCCCCTGGGGTGGCCTCTCAGTTGCCTACAATGAAAACTGGCTTCATATTGTCCACTCTTTGGACGCCTTTCTCTTCTCGCTTCTCCTAAGAATACTTCCTGGGATCTCCTCCCAGATAAGTGCCTTGTACTCAGACCCCTGTCTCAGCATCTGCTTCTAGAAGAACCCAAACAAAGACACCGCCTATCATTTCCTCACCTGCTTTATCTTTCCTCTCAGCGTCACCACTACCCACAAGCACACCACTCACTGCTGCCCCAGTCATGCTTCCTACCCCAGAGGGCAGAGATGAACTCTTTCACCAGCCTCCCCGACACCTCTATCAGTGTTCAACACACTCAGTATATTGTGGTTTGGGGTTTATTTATATCTTTCATCGTTAAAATTATAAATAAGTAGGACTAGATCCTCCGTCCCACCCCCCACTACCACGAACCAGCTTAGCTGAAACCTGCACCTCAGATTTCTTTACTTGGTCTCTCTCTCTCTGAGTTCTCTGACAACCCACGGAGGAACCTGAGGGTCAGAGGGGCTCCTTGTGGAAACAAGGGTATTGAGGGGATGGGGTGAGTCAGCCTTCTAGCCAGCTGGAAGAAAGGAAAACCTCTGGCCAGGAACTGAAATAGAATATTTATGGTTCCCAAAGAGATGGGGGCTGGGGGGGGAGCCATGTGTGGGAGAAGGAGAGAGTCCCCTGTGGAAGTCGGCACTAACGGGAGACGGGGCGGTGAGGGTCAGGACAAAGAAGCCTGTCTGCTGCTGGCTTTGCTTTGTGACCTCAGGCAAGCCCCACTCCGGGCTTCAGTTTCTATGCAGATAAAACAATGATCGCACTAATCCCAGCTGAGGACCTTGAGGGTGAGGAGCAAGTTCAGCCGATAGTGGCTATCAGGTCTAACCTTAACTCCACTGGCTTCAGTTCGGTCCCCAAACTCAAGCGTAGGGCTCAGACCTTGAGGGCTGGATCCAAGGCCTGGCTGGGATACCACCCCACGTCAGGCTGCCTCAGCACTCCTACCCCGGACACCCCCCACTGCCTCCCCCTCTACTTGTGGCCACCGCTGTCCTCAGGGGCGGCCAGCCCTGCCTCAGTCACTCCCGGGGTCAGAGTCCATGAGGCCACACTGATAAGACCCCTGGGCTAGGGATTTGGAGCCAGCTCTTGGAAGCTCCATGTTGGAGCCACAGACTCCACTTCCCCGAGCCTCAAGTTCCTTTATCTGAAAAATGAATCTGATAAGAATCCCTGCTCTGACACCTCACAGGAGTGAACATGATAATGGAAGCAAAAACCCTACATAGAAGGTAGTGACAGGAGCGGTAGTCACCAGTCATTGAACTCTCTCTCTGCCAGGCAAAACATGATTTCAGTTAACCCGCGTCAAACAACAACAACAACAAACTGAACTGGGTACTATTACTGACAATTTACACATCAAAAAATTGACTTAACCAGGGACAGGTGGGGATTCACCCCAGCTCATTCTGGGTCCAGAAGGCTCCAGGACGGCACTCTTGGCTTACTGGGGTCTGCCTAAGAGGAAGGGGGCTCTCCTCTCCTTTCTTACGCAGTTGTAGACAGGCTCTGAGCCCCCCAAACTTGTTCCACCACATTAAGAGTCATAATGAAGGCCCATATGACAAGTAAGGGAAAGGGGAGTGAGGGAGAAGGAAACCACCAATTAGGTGCCAGAAGGAAGTGTTATTGTCAACAACCTTCTCAACACCTCTGCCAGAGAGACTTCCCTGGTGGTTCTGTGGGTAAGAATCTATTATACCTTCTGGACTTCCCTGGTGGGGCAGTGGATAGGAATCCACCTGCCAAGGCAGGAGACACAGGTTCGACCCCTGGTCTGGGGAAGATTCCACAAGCCGCAGAGCAACTAAGCCCATGCACCACAACTGAGTCTACATGCTCCAGAGCCCAAGAGCTGCAACTAAGTGAAGGCTGTGCTCTGCAACAAGAGAAGCCACTGCAATAAGAAACCCGGGCACCACAAGGAAGAGTAGCCCCTACTTGCCGCAACTACAAAAAGCCCACTCGCAGCAATGAAGACCCAGAGCAGCCAAAAATAAATACATTTTTAAAAAATAAGCTTAAAAAAAGGGCTTCCCTCCTGGCTCAGATGGTAAAGACTCCCACATGCGGGGGGCGGGGGGAGAAGAGGGGGGAAACTAAGTCCACGTGCCACAACTACTGAGCTGGCACGCTCTGGAGCCCTCAAGCCACAACTAGAAAGAAGCCCGCTGCACCGCAAGGAAAGGTCTTAAATGCCACAAAGTAGATCCCCTGGCAGCAGACCCAAGGCAGCCCAATAAATAAAAATAATTAAAAAATAAAAACAAACTAACAAACCACAACCCTGCCAGGTTAGAGTTTTTATCCTGATTTTGCAGATGAGAAAACTGAGGATCAGAAAGGACAAGTGACTTGTCCAAGAGCAGGCAGGAGAAACTTTCCTGCCACTCAAGGTGGCTACTTCTCCTCTTTCCCCATACTGAGTGTGGGAAGGGGGAGGGTGTGTTCCTTCCCTTCCCTTCCCTTCCCTGTCCTCGCTCTTCCCTTGTCCCTAGAGAAAATGACAGGGCTTCCCCATTGGAACGGGCCATCATTCTCAGAGGTTCTGATCAAATCCCACAAATATTTAAAGGAGCTATTTTGGGAGTCCATAAATGTGGGAGATGGGTGCATCCCTGGCCTCCTCCAGTCCTAATGGCCTGACCCCAGCCCCGCCAGCAGGCACCAGCCCATGTTCCCAAAGCTAGTGTTTCTTGGTTTAGGAGGCAGGCACCGCTGGAACCGCAGAATGGGGCAAAAAGTGGGGCAGGGCAGACTCCCTAGGCCCAGACACGCTGGCACTCCGGGGCCTCTCCTGAGCCTAGGGAACTCGGGCTCCCCTGGTGGAGCCCTGGAAGGCCAAGACAGAAGGGGGTGTAGTGTACTGACATTGGGCTTCCTGATGCGGGAGAGGCCAGGGTCCCAGGCTGTTGGCCCGGGAGGCGGGAGGGTTCCGGAGTCCTGGCTTTGGCTCTGTATCTCCCAGTAAGGGCGCTGCGTGACCCCAGGCAAGCCACTCCTCCTGAAAAAGGAGGGACCGGGTTGGGTTTCTCAGGGCCTCGCGGGGGAAGGTGCCAGGTGACTGGTTGGTTCCCTGAGAGTAACTGGAGACAGGAAGAGGAGGGGGGAGCCCGGTGAGGTTCCTCGCAGGCTCCGGGACGCCCCTGGGAGAGGCGGCGGCAGAATCTGCCTTACGCCCGGGCGCCCAGGGACTTCGGAAGCTCAAGCAGCGAAGTGTGAGAAATAAAAACAGGTTTCCAACACAGCCAGGAGGCCGGCCGGGCCACCTTCTGAACCCCGCCAGAGGAGGGGTCTAGACGGGGCGGGTGGGTGGCACCTCCTGAGACCCCAGGTTGAGCCCCGCCCCCAACTTCCAGCATGTACCAGCGAAGCCCGGGCTCGCACCTGAGTCTGTTTCCGGGCGCCCGAGGGAGTTAAAAGATGACCTCGTGGGCTGGACTGGGGGAAGCGGGCAAGGTGGGCGCCCGCCGGCCGCTGACCGCGGGCCAGAGTGCAGGGGCGCGGGATGGGGGTATCTTCCCAAGCCCCCCCCCACCCGCCCCACGTCCCTTCCCCACCCCATCCCACCCCCACCCCGGGTACAGATGCCGAGCTCCTGCCTCCCCTGGCTGTCCAAAAAGGGGACGTGCCCGGGTCGCGCAAGGCGCCTCCTCCGACCTGCAGCCCGCACCTGGGGACCCCGAGCTCCCGTTTCTTCCCCCAGCTTCTGCCCCTCCTCCACAGTCGCAAAGAATGGGGGCCGGAGTGGGGACGTGACCTTCCGAGACCCTCAACCCCGCAGGGCCGGGGAAGGTCGCTCCCGGGCCACAGGGCGCGGGGTCAGGCCCTGCCTCTCTCCCTTCTCCGGGGTCCCTCAGGAGGCGAGGTTCGTGCGCCGCGACCCCCAGCCCGGGCCCCCGGCGGACGCGCACACACTCACTCCGGTGCCGGCCGCCGCCGCACCCCCAGCTCTGCTTGGCGAGGCTGGGACTCCGGATCAGCGCCCGCCCGGCGGACTTGAGCGCGTCCATGGCCTCTCCGGGCCGCCGCGCTGCCGCCTCCGCAGCAGCCAAAAACTCCGTCAGGGAAAACTTTCCGCCGGGGCCAGGCGGCGCGCGGGCTCCGCGCTCCTCCCCTCCCCGCGCGAGCTCCGCGCCGACGTCCGACGGGGCGGGGCGAGGGCCGACCAGGCCCCGCCCCGTCGCTCCTCTCGCCCCGCCCCGCCCCGCCCCGCCTCTGCCCAGCTCCCCAAGGCAGTCTAGACAAAGGGCGCCCCAGAGGCTGCGAGCCAAGCCGTAGACGCCCTGTCGTTTCCTCTCTGTCTCTCTCCCCAAACCCCTTATTTCCCACCTGGTAGGGGGCTGAGAGTCCGAGAGCCGCCGCCCCACCGCGGGAGTCAAGTCAGTTCAATCACTCAGTGGTGTCTGACTCTTTGCGACCCCATGGACTGCAGCACGCCAGGCTTCCTTGTCCATCACCAACTCCCGGAGCCTACTCAAACTCATGTCCATTGAGTCGGTGATGCCATCCAACCATCTCATCCTCTGTCATCCCCTTCTCCTCCTGCCTTCAATCTTTCCCAGCATCAGGGCCTTTTCAAATGAGTCAGCTCTTCGCATCAGGTGGCCAAAGTATTGGAGTTTCAGCTTCAGCATCAGTCCTTCCAAAGAATATTCAGGACTGATTTCCTTTAAGATGGACTGGTTGGATCTCCTTGCAGTCCAAGGGACTCTCAAGAGTCCTCTCCAACACCATAGTTCAAAAGCATCAATTCTTTGGCGCTCAGCTTTCTTTATAGTCCAGTTCTCACATCCATACATGACTACTAGAAAAACCATAACCTTGACTAGAGGGACCTTTGCTGGCAAAGTAAGGAGGCGTGGGAGGTGCGGGCCTAGAATTTCGAGACCACTGAAAGTTACTTGGAGATCACTTTACAGATGGGGAGACTGAGGGCAGGAGACAGGACGCTTGTCCAAGAGAAATGTGATGACCACAGCGGTGGGAGGCGGTGGGGGGGAGCTTGGAAAGAGAGCTGTTGGTGGTAGAACTTTGCCGGGAACAGGGCAGGAATATAAGATTGGCCTGAGCAAGACCCGTTGGACACTTGACTCACCCAACAGACTCAGCCTGTTCCCTTGCTCCACTTGCGCCCTCTGGGCTGCCCCCTGCCCACCTTACTCCCCAAGTAGCCTGAGGCATGGTGTGGTCTTGATGTTATGCTCCTCTGAGGTACGGGAAGGGAGCCTCAGCTCTTAAAATGGCTTGCTGTGTGACCTCAGGCAGTTCCTCCCCCTGTCTGGGTCTTAGTCTCTACTTGAGAAGTCAGATGAGATTCTGTCTAGTGACCCTTACAATCTATCAGACCTTGACCAAGACCCTGCCATCCTTTCGAGGAGGCATTTCTAGGGGAGTCTGGATTTTAGACTTGGGGCTTTGCTGATGGCTCAGGCAGTAAAGAATCTGCCTGCAACGCAGGAGACCAGGGTTTGATCCCTGGGTCAGGAAGATCCCCTGGAGAAGGAAATGGCAACCCACTCCAGTACTCTTGCCTGGAGAATCCCATGGACAGAGTTGCCTGGCAGGCTACGGTCCATGGGGTCGCAAGAGTCAGACACAACTGAACAACTAACACTGTACTGGATTCTAGCATTCCTCAAGCACGGATGTTCTAAGTCTAGAATTCTCTCTAGAATCCTGTGCCTCCCTGTCAAGCTTTACCAAAGGGAGTCAGAAGGAGAACACACATACCCAGGCCACTGCCCCGTTTCTTCTGGGGGGTGGGCGTGTTGCCTCAGCAAGGTGACTGCAGCTTCTGGGGGATTCTTCTGGCTCAGAAGGCAGGAGTCCTGTTTTCATGTTGAGGAAAGAGAGAACTATGCTGTCCCCAGTGGGACAGGGAGGCTAACACTCCTCTCTCAGTTTACAAACCAAGTGCTTTTTTGGCCATTCTGTCCTTTGCTCCAACAACACTGCAGCCCGAAGTAGACCCATTTTACAGATAAGAGCCCAGGGCCTGGGAGAGAAGCCAGGATGGTAGAGTTCAAGGCCAGTCCCTTAGGCCAGAGGAGAATATCAGAGGTCTGGAACCAGCTTTCCTTCTTTTAGTGTTTGTGAATTTACCTTTCTGAGCCTCAGCTGTGTAAGAGGCAACAATACTTATTCCACAGGGCTGTTGTAAGGAATAAATAACTTGAGTTGGAAAAGCTAAATCCTCTCCTTAAGAACTCACCTATAAAGTTGCCACCTCCAGGAAGCTTTCCAGACTGCCATCCATCAGTTAGGTTTTCCCTGCAGGATGCCACAGGCCTGAGCTTTTGGCAGTGTCGCGGCTTCCCGTTTCTACTCTATTTGCCTCCAACAGACTTTGTGTCCTTCAAGGGCAATAGGTTTTTCTGATTTATTTCTGAAGCCCAAATGCCTAGCAAGGGGTCCAAATGGAGTCGGAACACAGCGTTTCTTTCCTTCTTCCCTCCCTTCCTCCCTCTCTCCAGCTTTCCACCACAGCAGACTAACTTGTCCTGCAAAGGCCTTTGGTGATGGGTAGGTAGGTCCCCAGGACTGAGCGTCCCAGCCCTGAGCCAGGTAGGCCCTGGGGAAGAGAGAAGATTCTGGAGCTTGAAAGAAAAGCAATCACTAGGGTTGGCTGGTGAAGGGCAGCTGGTGGTGTCTGGCTGGCAGGGGGTACCATATGGGCCCGGTAAGCAGGCAAGCCTGGGCACTCTATGCCCGTTGAGGCTGTTTCCAGGGCCATTGCATCCTCCCGGAGGTGGCTTGCTGGGAGCAGTCAGCCGTGCATCCCCTGCAGAGGGGCAGCCTGCTTGTGCCCCTTCTGCCAGCCCCAGAAGCAGAAGCAGAAACAGAAGGTCAGAGCTGCAAGGGGCCTCCTCTAAGGTCACCACATCCAAACCCTCATTTCACAAGTGAGGAGCCTGAGGACCAGTAAAGGGCAGAGACTCGCCCAAGGTCACACAGCCAGGCAGGACCAGAAGCCAAGTCTCTTGCCTCCTAGTTTGGATGCTAATGAAAACAGAGAGGGAGCAAAGAAATCTTGAAAATACACCAGTATTCAAGAAGAAGTTTTAAGGTGGTTTTTCTTTTTTACTTATCTGATCTAACTTCATAAAAATTTTTACGATGATCATATATTCTTTAATAATCAGAAAGGAAAAGAGCAATAAAATGGAGGCAAAAGCTACCTATGGGAGTAAGTGGCTTTTGTCTTTTAGAAAATGGTATCAGAATTGTAATCTTACTGTTCCCTCCCCTACTGGGCCCTCATGGGATTCCAGTGAGACAGTGGGTGCCAGGGAGCTGGTAGGGCTCTCAGCTTCTCTCCTGCTATCACTTGGGCTTGCAGTGGGACCAAGACCAAAACCTTAGGCTGGGATCAGAAGCCCTGAATTCCTCAAATAATCTAGCCTCCTGAACCAGTCTCTTCACCTGACCAGGTCTCAGTTTTTCCATCTGTAAAATGGGAGTTTTTACAGTAGAGTATGTATTCTGGCCCTCTGCCCTCCACTAGCAGAGCACAGTGGTGAAACCCATGGGCACTGGAGTGTGGGATTCCATCTCCCCCTCTTCTTTGCTCTGTGGCCTTTATATTCATTTATATTCCACAGGCCTCAGTTTCCTTATCTGTAAAAATGGGTGGCTGTCTATTATACAGAGGGAAATAAATCAGAAAGAGAAAAACAAATATATATTAACGCATATATATGGAAGCTAGAAAGATGGTACTGATAAACCTATCTGCAGGGCGGCAGTGGAGACACAGACATAGAGAAAAGCCTTGTGAACACAGGGGCAGGAAAGAGCAGGTTGGATGAATGGAGAGAGTAGCCTGGGAACATATACACTGCCATCTGTAAAACAGATAGCCAGTGGGAATGTGCTGTGTGACTCAGGGATTTCAAACCAGGGCTCTGTGACAGCCTCGAGGAGCAGGGGTGGGAGGGAGGTCCAGAAGGACGGGGACATATGTACACCTACAGCTGATTCATGTGGACCTATGGCAGAAACCAACACAATATGGTAAAGCAGGTATCCTTCAACTGAAAATAAACAAATTTCAAAAAATGGGTGGCTGTGAGGATTAAAAGAATTAATGTTTGGGACATCTTTAGAATTATGCCTGCATATAACAAGTGCGATTTATGTCACATAATTTTAATAAAACTCAAATCACGTTCCTCACGTGAAGGTGAACGTGAACAGTGAAGATGGAGTAGTTATTACCCTAGTTCTTGACTGGCTCCCAGAGATGGGCGCGCTCTTGGGACTGGAACCAGCCTGGCCCAGTCTGAGCTGTGGGTAGTTTGCCTCTCCCCGGAGCCGCCCGTCCCCGACTCCCCTCAGGTCGGACACAGCCCTCATCCCCGGAATCTGAGGGCACCTGGGTTACTGCCCAGGGATTTCTGCTTTGACTTGGCTCTAACCTCTCACCCACCCCACAAGGCCTGTCCTGCCTGCGGTGTTCCACCGTCCCAGTCCCCAGCCAGTCACCTCTGAACGTTCCCCTCCTCAGAACCCTTCCATGCCGCTTCCTTGTGCAGAAACGTGCAGCCAGGGACTTCCCTGGTGGTTAGTGGCTAAGACTCCAGGCTCCCAATGCAGGGCTCCAGGCTCAATCCCTGGTCAGGGAACTAAATCCCACATGCCACAACTGAGTCCACGTGCCACCACGAGAAGATCCCTCGTGACCCAGCCAAGATCCCACATACTGCAGCTAAGACCCAGTGCAGTCAAATAAACAAACAAATAAATAAGAAAAAAGAAAAAGAAACATCCAGCCAGATTGCCTCCTTAACCTTCCCAGCCTCCTCACCTTTCCTCAGAACATCTGGTCAGCCTCTTCCCCAGCATCCACAGTCACGGCTACCCACACACCTATCTTCCCTCCCAGCACACACACACACAAACGTGCACACACACACACACACTCCTGGACAATCGTTTGACCTTGGAGTTCTTTCTGAAAGTGAAAATGTTAGTCACTCAGTCGTGTCTGACTCTTCGTGACCCCGTGGACTGTAGCCCGCCAGTCTCCTCTGTCCGTGGAATTCTCCTGGCAAGAATACTGGAGTGGGTTATACCTGGGCTCTAAAACCAGAGACTTCACCTATTATATCTACAACCTCAGCTAGCTGGGCCTCAGTTTCTTCACCTGCACACTGAGGGTATTACCTGCTTTAGAGGGCTTTGCCAGCCTTTTGTGAGATAATATGAGGGAAATACTTAGCCCTGTGCCTGGCATGTGACAAGCGCTCAGTAAATGGTAACACTGGTTAGCATTCATTTTTAATGTATTTTTGGTAAACCTGTTTGCCTTCCCCAGCAGCTGGGCATGCCCCAAGCACGGGACTGGAAACCATCATTCACCCCAGGGTCCTCAAGAGCCACTGACCAGTGCCTGGCCCAGGGGAGGCACTCAATACACACCCAAGAGCTGGACTCCAGTTCTTTGCTCTGGTTCTCAGTGCGCACCCAGCAAGGGGGTGACCTAAAGGGGAGGGGGAGGTGCTCCTGAGGCGCCCCTACTGACCCAGACCACCCTCCTAGGTGGGACCATCGGCTGTCTCCCCCTCAGCCTGGGTCTGGCTGTCTCTGGCTATGGAGCTGCTGAGCTAATTAAGAATGACAAGGACCATGTAATTGCCAGCGATCAATGAGTTCCCTGCCTCTTCCTGCCTCTCCTCTCTTGCCCTCCTTGGCACTGTCTGGCCTTGAGGTCACCGCACAGACGTGGAGGCAGGTGGAGTGGCGAAACTGATCACAGGCTGATGTCAGGAGACCTGGAGGCTAGCCACCTCTGCCATCCTCTTGCAGTGGGACCCTGGGCAAGGAAGTTCACTCACACTGGCTCCATTTCCCTATCTGCAGGGCTCTTGACCTCGTGTTAGGCGGCGGACAAGGCTAAGGGACTGGATGGCCCCTTACCACATAGCGAGGCAGAGAGCTCCAGGCAAGAATCCCAGCCCTGCCCCTCGCCAGCTGTGTGATCTAGGGCAGCCTACTTGCCATCTCTGAGCAACAGATTCCTCATCTCCAAATGGGATTTGTTTGAAAGCACTTACCTCTTACTAGAACCTGCACTGTCTTCAACCTGTGCCTGTAACAGAGATCCCCGGACAAGCTCATCTCTTTCAAAGTGAGCTCAGAAATTAAGGGTTGAGAACTTGTAGAGCAATTTGATAGAGTTGTTTTATGTCTTGAATCTCATCATGAGAAAAATAGGTTCACATTTTTAAAATTTTATTTTTCTAGTAATTCATTTTCCTTGTATTGAATGGAAGTATTGGTCTGTGACAGATTAGAAAAATGTAGAAACCAGTCCTTCACCGCAGATGGATTGAGAAGCACTGCTTCAGGGGACTTTGTAAAAGCAGACATCACAGCAACTCACCATAGGGTTTCCGGAGTTCTAGGAACTTTCAACTCCTTGGCTCCCAAAGCCTACAGGATAAAGACCCAGTCTCTTTTCCTGACTTCCGAGGCCCTTATCACTAAACTCCCAATCTCTTTTCCCATCTTGCCTCCTTCCCCACTACACACCCTTACCAAACCACCCTGTTCTCTCCTCCCTCAAATTTCCTATGCCTGTTTATAACTCCATGCCTTTTCCTCTGCTTTTCTTTCCACCTGTAATGACTTTCTCCACATTGCCCTAAAACTGGCAAACTCCTATTCATCCTTCAATACCCAGACCAAATGTCCACTTTAGGAAGACTTTTCCCATGCCACCCCTGCACCTGTCCCAGGCAGGGTTAGGTGCTCCCTGCTCTGTGCTCCATGGCGCAGCTTGAAAGGCTGAGGCAGGACGTTGCAGTGGTTAAGACTACCGACAGAATCAAGAGGATTTTAGACTTGACTTTGCCAGCTGTGTGATCCTGGGCAGATGATTTGATACTATTGGGCTTCATTTTTCCCATAATGTGAGGAGTAGAGATGATGTGTGAAAAATTCCCAGCAGCGTAACACTTGGGAGAGACTCAAGATATGGCAGCTGTCGTTAGTGTTAGCCCTCTGGTCTATAACCCCCCAGGTTGTCTGTCTCCCTATTAGACTGCTTGTTTCCTGAGAGCATCCGGTCTACCTGGATGCTTCCTGGGTAGGGCATGCACAGAGGCTGTGTGTTGGCCAGGGTCTCTGTCCGCTCCCTGCCCCGTGGAGCCAGTGGCTGTGGCTCCCTTGTCAGTGGAGAGGTGATCAGTCAGCTCAGCCCACCATGGCCGACTTTGTTACCAAAAGTTTAACAACCAACCGGCTTGGCAATTTCTTGAATATTTAACAGTCTGCTCTGTGAGACTTCGCTCCAGGGCACCTCCAGGATGACTGCTCTGAGCAGAAGAGCAGCCATCAACAGGCTTGGGCCCCCAGTTTGAGAGACAGGCTGCCTCCTCTGCCCGCCGCCCAGCCAGCGCCTTGAGAGCCACCCAGGGAGGGGCCGTGAGGTCGGCCATGCCCCTCACAGAGGTCCTCCTCACTCATCCCCCTCCTCCAAGCCTCCAGCCCCTTTGTTCTCTGGGATAAAAGCCTGCAACCTCCCTCAGGAGGAAGAAGAGAAGCTGGGGTAGTGAGCCCAGCTGACCCATCCATCATGACTCTTGGGGGGCGAATCAAGGAGGGGGCTACCTCTGCAGCTAACCAATTCTCAAGAATCCTGTCCGCCCAGTTGTCACAGGCTGATGAAGCCCACCCTGGTCCCAGTGTCTCTTGGTCACAGAAGGATCCGAGAAAGCTTGTGCAAACCTCCTCTCACCTCCTTCCCTTCTGTTCTTTAGTCTTTAGTCTTTGTCCAGGCCGCTCCCACCTCTTGCCATGCCCTCCCCCTCCCTTCCCGCCCTCCACCCCGGGGCATCCCCCCACCTTCAGCGCCCAGCCCAAATCATTGAGTTATACCTCCCAGGCCAGCGGAAGCCACTCTCCACACACGCGCTGGGTGGCACATCTCCCTGGGAGCCCCTTTTCCAGCTGCTTGCCCACCTGCCTTGCACCCTCTCCGTACGGCTGTGCTTTTCCTGCGGTGCTGTTTTAAAATGCAAATTCCTGGGACTTCCCTGGTGATCCAGTGATTAAGAATCTGCCTTGCAATTTGAAAAGACCCTGATGCTGGGAAAGACTGAAGGTGGGAGTAGAAGGGAACGACAGAGGATGAGATGGTGGGATGGCATCACCGACCCAATGGACATGAGTTCCAGTAGACTCCGGGAGCTGGTGATGGACAGGGAGGCCTGGCATGCTGCAGTCTATGGGGTCGCAAAGAGTTGGACACGACTGAGTGAGTGAACTGAACTGAACTGAACTTGCAATGCAGGGGACGAATGTTCAATCCCTGGTCCAGGAAGAGTCCATGTTTTCGGTTTCACTTTTCAGGGCAACTAGGCTGGTGCGCCACAACTACTGAACCTGCGTGCCGTGATTACTGAAGCCCAAGTGCCTTAGAGCCTGTGCTCTGCAACAAGAGAAGCCCCTTCAATGAGAAGCCCATACACCGAAGCTAGAGAGTAGCCCCTGCTCCCTGAAACTAGAGAAAGCCGGCACACAGCAACAAATAAATAAAAAATTTTAAATATAGAAATAAAATGTTCATATTTTTTAAAAGCTCTGAGCTTCTTAGCAGTCAAAACAAAGAGGGAAACAGTAGTGGGGGCTACTCTCTAGGTGCGGGGCGCGGGCTTCTCATTGTGGTGGCTCCTTTTGTGACGGAGAACAGGATCCAGGCGGTAGGACTTCGGTAGTTGCTGCACATGGCGCGGACTCAGGGTTGTGCACTGGCTTAGTTGCTCCGAGGCACGTGGAGTCTCCCCTGACCAGGGATTGAGCCTGAGACCTCTGCATTGCAAGGACCACTGAACCACCAGGGAAGTCCATCTCCTTGCATCTTGATGTTACAGATTGACTTATTTCTTACAATTATCACTTATGGTCTGTTTCTCCCACTAGAATGTGGGCTCCCGGAAGATGGGGCTTTGGTCTGTATGGATCACACCTGTATGTCCCAGGTACAGAGATGCTGGGTACATTGCCAGTGCTCAGTAAATGTTCAGGGAATGCTGAATGAGTGGGTAAGACCTGTGAAGGCTGGGGCCCATCAGTCTTTCCACTTCCTGGCCATCTGGGTTCCAGGCCCTCCCACTGTCCATTTTCACGAGGACAACTCACATTAGAACCTTTGTGGTTCCGGCACTTCCTCTTCAGACCTCAATGCTTCAGCCTTACTGCCTCCTGCCCTCCGCAGCATTGTTGGTGTGAACGGCAGCTGCCCTGAGGCTGCAGTAAGAGCTCCCCAGACCCTGGACCACAGGCTTCTCTCCTTCCTGGAATTCCTTAGATCACTTCCATCCATTGTCTTTGGTGCAGCTTCTTGAGTTGATCTTCCCAGCACGGGAAGATTCCCTTGCTGTTTTCCCATCTGCTGCCAGGTTCAAATCCTTTTTGGCTCCAAATCCTCTCTTGGGGTTTTCTTGGTCTCTTCTGCCTCTGACGGCCAGGGTGACTTTGGGCAAGCCAGCTACTCTCTTCAGGGGAGACCCTTGTGAAATAAGGGGGGAGGGGCTGCATTTGCCCACCTCCCAGGGAAGGGCATGAGGGGCCTGTGTCCTCTGGAGGAACAATGATGATACAATGAAGGTTACTTCTCTCTCATTTGAGCCAGCATCAGTCTTGCAACTGAGTGCTTCATGACCCCACTCTCTCTTCTTCCACTTTAGTTACACAAGAAACAGGCATCTTCCACTGCAGTTGCCACCACCTCCTGGCCATTCAATCCTTCTCACATGTGGGAGGGGACAAGCTCATCATGTGGGTATAGTCCAGGCTCTGTTTCCCCTTCTCCTAAAAAGAACTCTGGTGTTGATATTCATCCATTTCTCCCCCTTCACTGTTCTGTTGTGGAGGTATAAGACTCAACATTCTTTCCTGAGGCAAAAAAAAAAAAAAAAAGCTTAAAGAGCACAGAGGGGACTTCATGCTCCCAATGCAGGTTTGATTCCCTCATGTATGGATGTGAATTTGGACCATAAAGAAGGCTGAGCACCAAAGAACTGATGCTTTTGAACTGTGGTGTTGGAGAAGACTCTTGAGAGTCCCTTGGATTGCAAGGAGATCCAACCAGTCCATCCTAAAGGAAACCAACCCTGAATATTCATTGGAAGGACTGAGGCTGAAGCTGAAGCTCCAATACTTTGGCCACCTGATTCGAAGAGCTGACCCAGTGGAAAGATCCTGATGCTGAGAAAGATTGAGGGCAGGAGGAAAAAGGGGGCGACAGAGGATGAGATGGTTGGATGGCATCACCGACTCAATGGACATGAGTTTGAGCAAACTCTGGGAGATAGTGAAGGACAGGGAAGCCTGGCGTGCTGAAGTCCATGGGGTTGCAAAGAGTCGGACAGGACTGAGTGGCTGAACAACAGGGAACTAGATCCTACTAAGACCAGATGCAACTAAGACGCAACTTAGATGAAACTAAGACCCAGAGCAGCCAAATAAATTTTTTTTTTTTTTAAGAGCATGGAAGTGTCTTTCTCTCTCACTAAACCTCCCTGGTAAATGTTCCAGGCCAGGAAGGCATGTCTGCTCCACACTGGCATGCAGAGGGCAGGTTCCTTCCACGCAATGACTTCCGTCAGGTTTACTGTCACCACTTCTGGTCTCGGCCAGCAGGGAGGAAAGAGAGGGCACCCTCTGACTGAAGGCCAAGGCCTGAATGTGGCCTCTGTCACTGCCATTCACGTTCCAACGGCCAGGACGTGGTCCTGTGGCCAGTGATGCAAGGGAGCCGGGAAATGTCGTCCAGCTTCATGGCCACGTGCTGAGGAGGAGGAGGACAGTTTGGGAGGACGACCAGTTGAGTTACAGCACCTACCCTCTCTCTATAAAGATAATCTGGGTTTTGGACAAACTGGTTTCTCAGTTTTGTGTCACAGAACTCAGAAAATGGGAGGAGAGAGCCTGAAGGGGAATGTGAGAGAAAGAAAACAGGGAGGGAAACAGCTTTTAAGAGTATTAGACACGAGTCACAGTTGGAGCTGTTTTTAAATTACTTTTGGTTAATGGTCTGTGTCTTACGGTGTGCTCTTCCTGCCCAGAGCCAAGATGAGGCCTCCTGGGGTCCCAGGATACGTGGGTCACCATGCTCGCCACGCTTACAATTTACCAAACCCGGTGCTGAGACTGAGGCTTTGACGAGATCTGGTCTCTGCCCTTCAGGCATTCACAGGCAGATGGGGGAGACAGACACAGGATTAGAGGCAAGTCCAAGCTGCTGAAAACACGTCAAGGTGGGAATTACCTCCGCCCTGGCAGGGTGGGGGAGGATCAAACAAGAAAGAACATAACAGGGACCTCACATTCTAGGTTTACCTCTGCCTGTGGGAAATACTCAGCTCTCTAACTTTTTTTATTCAATCCTAGAGTCATAAAAGGTAAAAGAAAGAAGATCAAGTGAAGAATCGGGAAACTTGGGTCCTGGCCCTGCTGCTCTGTGTCCGAGAGCAAGTCCCCGCCCCTCTGTAGTCGCCTTCTCTCCCACTGTCTGCAAGGCCCCCAAGAGCACGTTTGATACCCTCCTAGGAAGTACAGGTGAAAGATGCTGTGAAAGTGCTGTATTCAGTATGCCAGCAAATTTGGAAAACTCAGCAGTGGCCACAGGACTGGAAAAGGTCAGTTTTCATTCCAATCCCAAAGAAAGGCAATGCCAAAGAATGCTCAAACTACCGCACAATTGCACTCATCTCACACGCTAGTAAAGTAATGCTCAAAATTCTCCAAGCCAGGCTTCAATGGTACATGAGCCATGAATTTCCAGATGTTCAAGCTGGATTTAGAAAAGGCAGAGGAACCAGAGATCAAATTGCCAACATCTGCTGGATCATCGAAAAAGCAAAAGAATTCCAGAGAAGCATCTACTTCTGCTTTATTGACTACACCAAAGCCTTCGACTGTGTGGATCACAACAAACTGTGGAAAATTCTTAAAGAGATGGGAATACCAGACCACCTGACCTGCCTCCTGAGAAATCTGTATGCCGGTCAAGAAGCAATAGTTAGAGCTGGACATGGAACAACAGACTGGTTCCAAATCGGGAAAGGAGTACGTCAAGGCTGTATATTGTCACCCTGCTTATTTAACTTATATGCAGAGTACATCATGAGAAATGCTGAGCTGGATGAAGCACAAGCTGGAATCAAGATTGCTGGGAGAGACATCAATAACCTCAGATATGCAGATGACACCACCCTTACGGCAGAAAGTGAAGAGGAACTGAAGAGTCTCTTGATGAAAGTGAAAGAAGAGAGTGAAAGAGTTGGCCTAACCCTCAACAGTCAGAAAACTAAGATCACAACATCTGGTTTCATCACTTCATGGCAAATAGATGGGGAAACAACGGAAACAAGTGAGAGGCTATTTTTTGGGGCTCCAAAATCACTGCAGATGGTGCCTCAGCCATGAAATTAAATGATGCTTGCTCCTCAGAAGAAAAGTTATGATCAACTTAGACAGCATATTAAAAAGCAGAGACATTACTTTGAGAACAAAGGTACGTCTAGTCAAAGCTCTGGTTTTTCCAGTAGTCATATGTGGATGTGAGAGTTGGACGATAAAGAAAGCTGAGCACCGAAGAACTGATGCTTTTGAACTGTGGTGTTGGAGAACACTCTTGCGAGACACTTGGACAGCAAAGAGATCCAACCAGTTCATCCTAAGGGAAATCAGTCCTGAATATTCATCGGAAGGACTGATGTTGAAGCTGAAACTCCAATACGTTGCCACCTGATGCGAAAAACTGACTCATTGGGAAAGACCCTGATGCTGGGAAAGATTGAAGGCAAGAGGAGAAGGGGACGACAGAGGATGAGATGGTTGGATGGCATCACCGACTCAATAGACATGAGTTTGAGTACGCTCTGCGAGTTGGTGATGGACAGGGAGGCCTGGCGTGCTGCGGCCCATGGGTTCACAGAGAGTCGGACACGACTGAGCGACTGAACTGAACTGAACTGAGGAAGTAGTAGGGCTTCCCTGGTGGCTCCA